CCCCGCCCTCTAATAAAAAAAACCACTTTTCTGTTGAACCAAATCTGTATCAAGTATCAGGAAACAGTACCACACACTGACAATTACTTCGGGAAATAATGCAATTAACAAACACTGACTTACATCCTATTTTCACAGAGCCCTTATACTTCCAAAAATGAAGGTAATATTCTTATATATTATGGTCCGAATTTCAGTAAGCTAGAAAAAACAGCTGAGGATGGCAGAATATGATACAACACTAGCAGTTTTTCAGCACCTCTACAGTACTATACCATGTGCTGTGTCAATTACTTCCCAGGAATCTGTTGGCAAGTTTAGAATTTTATTTAAGCATACTTTAACTCAATTTAAAGATCCTATTATCCAAGATTTACCCAAGTCAGATCACAGTTAGGAGTTTATACATGTCAGTATATATTATTATACTTACAAGTAAGATAAAAACTAAGTAACTTAGTTTTAATAAACTGATGGTAATACTGAAATTAAATCCAAGAAAGTTGCTCATTACACAATAGCCTCATATCCAGAAACACAGTTGGTGACAGCTTATTTTTATTTCTCAATATTTTTTTTTTAAATTTTACTCCTGCAACTAACGCAGAGCTAGAAGTACTTCATATTCACACACACACACAACACCGCAGGTCTTTTCCTTTCAATAGTTCACCTGCGATTTCTATTTGATTCCCATATTATCATCCACAGAAAACAAATTACATAGCAATACACATCTGACATTACTTATGTTCTAAATACTTGACTGGTGTTACCTTTGCTTTGTCACGGAAAATAAAATTAAATCACATTAATGTTTTCATTGCATGAAAAATGCATACACTTAAAATTAAGTGTATTTAATTTTAAGGCAATATCAGCTGAATTTTCCATGATCCTGTCCATGAAACCTCTTTGGCACAAAATAAACCATCAGGTCCATGGGTGAGCATTCCTCAATACTTCCAAGGTGACCTGATCTGCTACACGGCTAAAAGCTCTTCTTAGGGAGACTTTTCCAGATGGCAAGAACAAGACGGCATCAGAGCTGATGATCTCCCATCATTCTAGGGCACCAGGCTCCCTGACCTCTGGGTAGCCACCTTGTTCACCCACTGTTCCCCCAGGATGGCAACTCACAGTGACCCTAAAAACCATAGCAAAGCTCCTTCCCCCAAGCCCTCGCTGGAGAGAGAAGGGCATTACTACCCAAGTAAAGGCAAAAGGAGAAATGGACTCAGCACTAATCACCTGTCATTTGGTCTCCACTTCACACACAGATAGCAACTGCTTCAGAGAGAGGAGGAGGGGAGCAGCTAGGTGAAAACAGAGACCCTGCAACAGGGCTGGGTCACGGAAAGGAGTACACCAGGCTAGACACGGAATGGACACGGGGCACAGGAACTATCCAGTTGCAATTCTCCCAGCACACTGGTCAACTGCTCACCGCTCTGCAAGCTTTTCCAATCTGAACGCCACATCCGATTCCCTCTGCCTTCGCTAACTGCCCTCTCGAGGAGGTAACCGGGCCCGTCGCCAGGCCCCTGTGCTCACACAAACACGCACTGATGGCAGCGGGTTACAGGCAAACTCAGCGTTTCACCACAGGAGTTACCCACAGGAGCACTTGATTGGAAGCACATCACTGGAAGCATATTTGATCTGCATTAACCCATCAGCTTAACAGAGAAACTGCTGTCAGCATTAGGCAGTTCGGTAACCTGCAGGGAGTACTCGAGTACATCATGACTAATTCCAGCAGTATCACAATTCTTTGAACTCACCACATTCTTAATGATACCTGTCAATATTTTCATAATGAAATTAAATAGTAACAGCATAAGCACCAGGGAAAAACATTGGTTATGTCATAATAGAAAAATATGTATTGGTTCCCTCAGATACTCAAGAAAATCATGACTTCAACTCATTCTTTTCAAAAATATGACTTTGTATGAAGTGGGCCACATTTCTTCATGTGGATGCCTTAAAAAGGAATTTGTATTTTAGTTCACTAATTATTTGCCATTTTCTCCCTATTTGCTGTGGATTTCTGCAATATCTGAAAGCACAGCGGTTTTCCAGACTCCCATTATAAGAAAAATTCAATAGGTTTACTTACGCATTAGGTTGTAAATGTGCTTTTCTGCAACATGTTCCGTAAACAGCTTTATAAGGTCATCTTTTAAGTCTCTGTTAAGCTTGGTTTCTATGTAAAATTTATTCTGGAAAATAAGACAGAAGTTTTCAAGTTTGTTTTTCATAATAGCAAATAAAGTAAAATTACTTTTTCCCTGAATAAAAATAGTTCAAAATTTTAAAGCTGTAGACTACTTGACTTGTAAAGTGCTTCCTCGGTGACTGCATTTATATTAAACATAACATTCCTATACAACAAAAACCCATGTATTCAAAATTAAGAACGCATGTGGTACTATTGGTGACAAACCTACTGACATACAGGCGTGTGTTGGTTTTTATCCCGCCCCCCTATATCTACAGATATATCTCCATATTGACCCAGACTGGGGAGTTTGTAGAAAACACACTTTATTTTAGAACTTTATAAATGCTCTACCACCAAAATAGGGCTGAACATCATGTTTATAACGAAACAAAAACGCCTTTACCAGTGTCTAAAAGCGATTAATCCATTAAAATAGGTATGTTACAATAATAAATCACCAGTACAGCTACCCAGTTCTGAGGTTCATTGATAATCTCAGAGGATAGCTACTCAAAATTAATCAACTGTGGGAATAAGTGATATATGCAAATTATACAAAACTGAACTACGCTATAATTTTTAGGATTCAATTATCTTGCCCCACTCAGCATTAATAATAATTTCACCTTCTTCATTAACAGAATTTCCTTTGAGGGCCTCTGTACCTAACGTACTATTTGGTGTTATTCCTCAGTTCCCAGCCAGCAATTAATAGTCAGATTTCTTGTCTGTATTTTATTCACAGGTGGGTTTTAAATGCTGGAAAAAATAATTATTTCAACATAAATCTCCTATTTAGAACAACTAAATTCATCTAGACAACTTGTGTAAAAGAGTTAAACAGATACTGTCACAGAAAATCAACTTAATCAAAAATAAGGTACTGGAACACTTATCTGAGAGATTTACTAGAGGAAGGGATATCTCAAGGGAGAAAGGTTTTCCCATGCTTTAAATCAAGTTGTTCTCCTACTCACTAAAGCACTTAACATAATTGGAACAAACCTGCAGAACACCAGTAGAGAAATCTTTACTTTTTTTTGTGAAACCCATTCTCTTGGCCGTTACCAAAACCATACACGTACTGTAATAAACTGTCCACGCAGGAACCACTTAAACTTTCAAGGCAAGCATTCCACAGCCGTTATTTACCCTTAATGAAAACTGAACCCGTCAGAACAAAGGCAATCCGAGGGCTGAGTGCACGCCCCTACTGAAGTTTAGGTTTGTTGCAGTGATGGACAACAATCTTGAAAAGATTTTTTTTAAAAAAAATTTAGTAACTTCCTACTGCTGGTTCCCTCCCTGAAGCTCTCCTGCCCGTAGAGGTTTTATCAAAGGCTCTGCAGACAGACTAAGTGGCTTGTAAGAAACAGACTAACTTCATTTGTAACAGTTTCGGTCAATGGTGAATTGCCACTGCAGCAGAAATCCACAGCAACTGAAGATCTACATCTTCTCGGCAGTGTTCAGCTACACACCATACTACAGCCTTTCATCAGACGTAACTTCCTAAACCATTTCCACCTTGAGCTTCCTGATCACACACTACCACTTACGCACCAGTGCAACACACCGGAGTGACCAGAGCATCTCAGCGCCAGTCTCCTGACCTGAATCAAACCTGACAATGTCAAACTACAAGTTGACAAGATGAGATGCACCAAGGTAAGGAAATCACTTACTCTGTTCCCTTCCCAACCCCCAGACCTTCTTACACTTAAAGCAGCTGGCAACAACATGTGCAAACCGTGACGCTTTCTATTGTTTAAGAGTTGGAAAGCCTGTACCTTAAGCTTCATCACTAGAAAACCAACAAAAAAAAAGACCTTCTTACACTTAAAGCAGCTGGCAACATGTGCAAACCGTGACGCTTTCTATCGTTTAAGAGTTGGAAAGCCTGTACCTTAAGTTTCATCACTAGAAAAGCAACAAAAAAACCCAAACCACCCAGTACTTTCCATGAGAAAACTTACAAGACAGTACTTATACACAGAACAACTGTAAAATACTCTTCACATTTGCTCACGTGGAAACACCTTTCCAAAAGTTATACTTGCATGGATGTGAACAGACAACGAAAAATCATCGAAGTATTTCATTTCCAATCCACAGTGCTGAAAGGGGATAGTGGAAGAGCTGACACCTTCCCCATTCTTGTTAGTGGAAAACCAGGAAGGTTTTCTGTATAAGATGTCACTACCCAGGCTGTACCAGTATTTCTTGAAAAGTGTGTAAAGTCCCCTAAAGGTCTGACAGGTAAAAGGCAAGCAGGTATCGATAACAGAGTCAGATACGATAGAAGCATTTCTTCTACAAACCACCGTATTGTAAAGCAGTCTGGCAAATGTTAAGACACATAACTGTGTTAATATTAAAAGGAAAGCAATAAATACTTGAAAGGGAAAAAACAATATATGAGTGCTTATTCTCTCATCCACATATATATACACTCCCATCTATTTGTGTATACAGACACACACAAAATGTCCTCTAGCTGATAAGCAACGAAGTACAATACCACCCAGTCAGAACAATAACATTTTAGAGGCAATTAAAAAAATTCTTAACAATCCTAAAACCACAGCACTCACAAATGTTGGGCTTATTTAATGCCGCAAGATAACAGATTTTCAGCTCCATCTGTAAGTATAATTAACAACTGAGAAGCTATTAGAAACAAGTATATAATCTAAATGCTGATTTTAATTTTTCTTGAAGTGGAAATATGATTTTTATTCATTCATGTGTGCAGCATATTGTGATATGTACAATCTGCAAGCATTCAAAATAACCTCATTTAGATTTACAAAGTAAACAGCTATTCACAAGGAATTATTCTTAGGAACAAAGCACTGTGTGCTAAGCTGACTTCCAGTTTAATTCGCTTTATCTGCGGTTCCATCTCAGAACTCTTGAAGGAGCTTAAACCGACAGAATTTTGGAGGGACAAAAGATTCTCTGGGTCTCCAAACCTTCTGGAAAAGTCCACTGGAGCAGCATAGGACTGAAAAGACTCCATCACCACATGAAAAAAAAAACCACTATTGCTCCCAGCAAAAGAAGGAAAAAGAAAACTCCCTCAATTGCAGTCAGCCCTCTCAACCATCACTCAAGATGAGCTTTGAAACACACCTTGGTCACCATGTACAAGCAGGTTAAGAGAACACCTTTCCTGAATTCCCACCATTCACTCACAAGAGTATGGTTTGGTACATACCAGGAAAAAGAATAAAAGTGCTGCTGTTGATGTCAAAATACACAGGACTAAGCCTAAGGCAAAATACTATGCCTTTTTTGGCCACCAAGGGACAAAAAGATGCTTCAGTTGTATAAAAAATAAACTTCAGGTTTGCCTTGGCTTCCTAGATTTTTAAATATTTAAATGCATATTAAAAGTTTTCCTAAGCAGCAATATCCTTTCAGAACAAAGTTTATCAGTGCAACTCAGCAGTCTTGGAAACTCCTGATTAAAGCAATCGCATCGCTACCAGAAAAGGAAAGCGCTGCCATCTCTGATAAAACAGCAGAGTTGAACAACTTAGTCTCTTCACTTAAAAATACACTGAAAGTATCTATTAAAGTAACAGCAAAGCATTAAGTTATACTGTAGAATAATTAGGCTTTCACCTCTTGCGATTGTTTTTAATTGTATTTTCTTGTCTAAATAAAGGAAACTGCTGCTGCTGTATGACAGAAAACTTCATTAGACACTGCAATGTAAAACTGCAAGAGTAGCTGTACATTAAAGTACTTCCAAATGCACTCAGAAAAAACTAAGGGAGGCAAGCATTTTTCATCCTGACTCCTCTAGAGATATTTTCCACATCATGCACAACACTGATTAATAAATTATTTCAGAGAAAAAGTATGTGGCTTAATCTGACATTAGCCTTCAAAACCAGCTATTTAGCCGAGCCAAAGCAGCACTGTGTTTGGCAGCAAGAGGAACTAACAAGCACGTAAGTCACTAACTCTACTTAAAGGGGGCTTGTAAGAAAGATGGGGACAGACTTTTCAGCAGGGCCTGTTGCGATAGGACAAGGGGCAGTGGTTTTAAACTGAAAGATTTAAACCAAATGATTCTATGATAACTCTCAGGCCTAACTTGAATTAAATCACTTAAATAAGTGTTTGCAGAACAGTTTTACTGCCTGAACAAAACACTAGTCCTGCTTTTAAAGAAGCTTGCTGTTAAAATTAGAGAGTACTTCCACTTTTCTTTTTTCTCAAATTAAAAGAAGATCACTAACTATTCATTTTACAGGTCTGTTTATGACTCATTAACCATTTTCACTATGTTCAAGCATCAGTTAGACTCAAGCTCTAAAACAGAAGCGGAGGGATACAGAGCACTCCCCACCTGAAGATACAAACACCGTATCACCACCGCATACAGAGAAAGCTACGGAAATCTGTGTGTCAATCACACTTTGTCTGGTCATATAGACAAAGCTTACCATGGTAAAACTTGTCCGTTCACATGTCTATCATGAACCTTTTTTCCATGTGAGTTACTGCAGACTTAACTGTTAAGGACAGATTTTGCCCTCTGTGATGGAAGAGCCTCAGTCACAGAGCTGAGCGTTCGCTAAAGTGCACACCTGAACAGCCTACCTCCATTTGTAAATGGGTGTTAAATTAGGAGAGGACTTAAACACCTGCCTGCAATAAACAAGTTAAGCACACACAGGTGGAAAAATGGCTAGCATCTAAAGACATCTAAATGCAATACGGGGGGAAATAGTCTCTTCCTAGTTTTCCCCCAGCATTTCACAACAGGAACCAGGAGAAAAATAAGAAGTCATTACCAGGAACTCATCCCTTAGCTCACAAGTGAAGCTGTTGCAACTGGATTTTAGTTCATATTACTAGATAAAACAACAAATTAGAAGGCAAATTCTCTCAATGCAACAAATCTGTATAGTATTCCTATGCCAAAAGACTGTAGCAAGTTACCGGGTTTCAGATACATTCACTGAAAGGTAGGAGATCCTTCTAAAAAGATACTGTTTCCCAAAATCTGGGAAGCTACCAAGGAGAATTACTTTGAAGAGTTTGAGATTCATTTAGTCTATATCCATTGAAATATTTTCTCTTTTTAAAAAAAAAAAAAAAGAAGTTTCTTTCCCAACAAATATTTCATTTTTATCTATTTATTTATTTCTAAGCGATAACAATGCAAAGACGGTTTCTGCAAGAAGAGCAAATTTCAAGCTTAAGTTATTCATTACCATTAAAAAAACGCCCAAACAATAAAAATCTTGGCACTTTGACAAAAACAATGCAATTTATAAACTTCTGAGGTATAGAAGACTTCATAAATTACAAAATCAGCACGACAAACACTTATAGCCAATTGTTTCTGACCCTCTGGAAGTATGCTTGACAGAGCTATGAACATAAGTTTGTCTTCATCTAGTCAACGCTCTAAATAGCTTTATCAAGTGACAAAAGACACTTCCAAGAGACATTTCTTTCTGTCTTGTCTGAACCTGTGCAATTTAAAAGCAAGAACCAAATCATCTCTGTAGCTGCCCAAACTACCAAGCCAGCATATAACAAGCCAATAAACTACCCCTGCGCAAAAAGATACAAATAATGACCTAACTATTTGGGAAGGCTTTTTTACAATCAAAATAAAACCCATTGCCTGCACTCCCCAAAAAGGAATATTAGGGGGAAAACCAATGGCAAAACTCTACATTTAAAAGCACAGCTTCCCCTTCCTCTGCTCACACAACTTGACCAGTACTGTTATGCAGGTAGCAAAACCAGGCATAAATTATAAGTTCTATAAATTAAAAATCATTCTAGCTGCATTTTATTCTTTTCACTCTGTCAGCATCTTATGTATGGACATATTTTATTTGAAAAGAATTTTCTAAAACTTACCATATATATGAAAAGAGGCACAATGCTCTGCAATGCTCCCATATACTGTCCAAGAGCTATGTTAAATCTTTCAATATAGAGATCTGGAGGGCTGGCCTGCAAGAAACCGTAAAAATCAGGTTGTAATTTGAACAAGAGAAAGATCTGGAACAGCATGGGCTATGCTTTCATAGCAAACTCAAAAAGCTACAAAGAATTTGATACAGTAAGAACACACAAAGCAAGCCACACATCATTCCAGAGTTTCTGCTCTAACACCCTCCAGCAAAAGCAGTTTTCTTCAGTAACTGGTTTTTGCCCAATATGTCAGTGCCCAGCAAAAGGTCCATTCAATGAGAAATACAGTATGCCTGTAACGAGCTAGCATTTAGCATACACAAATAAAAACACTTATTAAAGACCAGACTTTCGTTCTGAAAAAACCTGTCACACCTAGAACCCACAACCCAATTTCAACAAGTGCTGCGGGGCGAGCTCCGACCCCTCTGCGAGCTTGGGCTCCAAGACAGCAGGGTGGCACAAAGCTGCTGCTTTGCATCCGAGCTGGCAAGCGGCACATCCTCCAGCTCCAAGGAGCACTGTCCTCCACAGAAAACATTTTTAAGCTTTTGCTGGGTCACCTAAGGCAAGTATTCAGGGGGTTGAGTTGGAGGGAGTACAAAGCAGTGTCTTCAGACAGAGCTCTGCATCTGGTGTCCTGCACTCCCAAGCAGGCCCACTAAAATCTGCCGCAGTGCTCCCACACACAGCACGACCCCGCAGCCCCAAGCAAAACTTTGCTACACGAAACCTGAAAGTGCCAACTTTATGATGGGCCTTGTAGAGCCCGCAGTGACAGCACTGCTTTTTTCTGTGTACAACGCCATCTTTCCCAAAGAAGGAAATCAGGAAGCTCAGAAGATCTGTTCTGCAGCGAGTGAAGTTAAATTGAGAAGGGAACCAGAAAAATGGGAAGCACTAACCACCATTTCTTTTATAAATACTTATTTGGAGGGATGCAGGGGAGCTGTATCAGAGCATTCAGAAGCGCACTTACACACCCAGGGAATGGAAGTGGAGCTGGGGCAACGTGTTCCTCCACTATCCCTTTCTCCATCTCAACCCACCCACATACAGTGCTCTTCTACCTCTGGCCCAACTCTTTCCCTACCACGGTCTTTCCAGAGGAGGCAGTGGGCAGCTGCCTGAGTTTCTACTGTTCATATACACGTACACACCTATACACACCCAAGGACAAAGTGTTGCTTGTTAATGAGAAGTAAAACTTCTCTTCCCTTGCACCATTTTCCTCTGACAGCACCAAGCCAGAAGAGGACGGAGAATGCAGCAGTGACTGGGACCTTGCAAGAAAACAAGCTCAAAGATTTTTCTAAAGCCAAAGCATTTACAGCGTGAGAAACACTCATGGCCAGCTGCACCTCGACCACCTTATTGCAACTTAAAGCTCTTATCTTTATAAAGCAGATTTTTCAGCCTTTCACCAGGGGCCCTAAGGGAACAGATAGAATTTATGTTGACTTTTTGCTCTATTAAGTACTATAAATTTACAAAAGTTTTTTTCCTTTAAACTAGCTTCTTTTGCCTCCTTCCTTAATATGCTTAATGGACACGTGGGTGATTTTCACAGCAAACAACGATACAGAGCAGACGTTTCAGAAAGGAAAGCAAAACTGGCAAAGGAATAAAGAGTGTTATTCCACATGCCATTCCCAAAGGTTATATATGGTTATTCCTCATTTTGATCCTAAGTTTTTAATCGTCTTGCAGATGCAGTTCTCAGGGGTGGACAAACAAATTTCAGTTCAAAATGCCAACAATGCATAAAAGTGGCTATGAACGCCCAGGACTCCCTTTCATATATAGTTACATATATAATTTGTTGCAAATAACATGCAATGAAATCTGCATTTCTAAGCAGTACGTATTCCTGCTTCCCTCCTTTTTAACCTCAACTTTAAATATGGTTATACTCTCTGATTTGTAAAGAGTTGGTATACAGCTCCTAAGATTAAAGAAAAAGGAAAATTCTACTTCAAAGAACAAGTCAGACAAAAGGAAACCATAGCCTGACACAGGGAACCACTCTTCTCTCACTGACAGTTTGCACTTTTCATTAAATAACCACCAAAAAACCCCCAAAACAACCCCCAAAACAAACAAAAATACCACCAGAGACAGAAGTTGTCTGGACAGTGTGTGATTTAATCCCATGAAGAGACTCTAGGCAATGGTACACAGCCAGTCTGCCACCCTTTTTACAAGGGACATTAAGGACTGATGTGTTTCCTCCACCAAAGATGAAACTGCTAGCTCACCTCCCACAGCCCGTGTCCCATTAAGACAGAAGTTTTAAGAAGGAACAACTGCACACCCAGCTGTCTCCTGAGAACAACCTCAAGAGTCCTTTAAAAGGACAGCTGTTGACCACCACCACCTTGCAACCAAGCGGAAAAAAACTGCTCTAGATGAAAACAAAAAAGCTGAGAAAAGTCCCGACAGCCTCAGGGAAAGCACTCACTAGTGTCAGGCAAATATCAGGCCTTGGTCTTAACATCTGGAATGCAAACTCACTGCGTTAACTGCTTTATCAGCATGAGGCGTTACCTTTCAGTTTTATTCTCCTGACAGTGTTTCACGTCAAGCCTCAACAGCCAAGACACTAACCGGAAAGCACGTACTGACACTGCTTGTTTCCAAAACAAAAACCAACTAAAGAAAAAAAGCTTGACAACCAAACTCTCCTCAACTATTGCTTGACTTGTAAACTAACAAAAAAACCCAAGCCAAAGAGAAATCAATAATAGTATTTTCACAGCTCATCTGTGAATTATCGTAATCTTTGTGGGGAAAACAGAACCATCTGTTTTCTGTTCATTAGGGTGTTACTGTGTGGCTGCTCAAAACTGCTAGACTGAAATCAATTACTTGTTTGGGCACAGGAACTTTCTCCACATCTCTACATTCACATTAATGAGGCAGTAACTGGAGTGGGACTAGCTTTATATAAACTACACGAATTTTATAAATAAAAAGGAGTGCATGGCACCAAATTCATGAGTAAATAGATGTTGCTAAGATTCTTCTATTAAACGGCCACCATTAGAGCAGAGCTTGCATTTTAAAAAAATCTATATTTATTCAGCTATAGCTATTATAAAAAAAAATAAAGAAACTGCTTTTTCTTTATAAAAAAAAAGAAACATTTTTCACTCTTGGTCCTAGTCCAGAAAAGATAACACGTATATTGAGTTGTTTTAATTATGGGAGGAGGGGTGAAATTAAGCATAACGTTTACTTCTTACAACCCCCCCAAAAATATTAAGCCTTTAAATCCACTCCTCTCTTACTTGAGGGCTGTATTACAGAAGCTATTCAAAGACAGAAAAATATACTGCTAGCCTGAGGTTTTCCAGGAAGGAAAAGGATCCTTCATTCCTTCACTCCACATCCAGAATCCTACCTGTCAATTCAGTTGGGGTTTTTTTTTGAGGGGGGAAATATGGGGAAACAGCTTAAATCCTCTCTTACATTTGCTCTCATCTACCACTCACAGGGTTAAGAACAGTTTTCCAGTAGCAACTATACAGTGCGGCTGTCCACAGGAGCACTGAACATACGGTCAGGTTTCTCAAATTGTGATGCAGTTGCATTTGCTTAACATCTTCAGCTTGGTTTTGAGTTGACTACTTAGCATAAAATACTATGGCTGCTGTTAAAAGCTTCAATGTTTGTTAAAGACATTGTTTAATCTCCTTTCCCACCATAGCGAACACCTCAGCACCAAGAGAAATAAGAAGTAGCAAGAAAACACATTTGAGAAAGGATGACATGCAAGACAGACATCTTCAAACAAAACAAGCAATTAGAGACCCAGTACACTAAACTACTGTTCCCTTACTTGAAATCTCGTATCTAGGCATTTCAATGAACTTGTGGGCAAGAAACTGTATACACGAAAACACTGTGGGTTTTTTTAGTTTGAAAACCATTCAAAATATCATTCTTTAACGGAACATATGAATGAAACCAGAAGACAAGCCACTGGCTCAAGACAACTCAGAAATGGCTCCCAAGTAAGAAACAGTGACAACAGTTCTTTGCTTCAGGAACACAAAGTTAATCTGTTTATGAATAGCTGTCTGGCACGATCAGCAATATATTCAGTAAACCTTACATTCCTATGTGGAATGGGCAATTCCATTTTCCTGGGAACACGCTCGCTGCCAAAATGCCAGCATACATGCTGCAGCATCTCTCCCACGCCTGCCAAGTGAAAAGGGAGAATAGCTATGGCTACACAAATTAACATGTAAGCGGTCGGAATCTTTTAAACCAGTTTTTGTTCCTTCTCAAGAAAATATAAAGTTGTTTACTTTGCTTACAGACAATTTATGTGATGCCCAGGTCTACCTCACTAGACAAGGGTACCATTAAAACTTTTTATGAAAAGCAGGCATCAAGCCAAAGTACAATTCATTCAAAGACTGACTGTGTCTTCCTATTGAAGTCTGCACTCAGAAATGTTCAAAGCGTCGTGACACACTCTCAGGTGTCTTAGAGCAGGGTGGCAGATGTAGGCCATGCTTCCATTTCCATTCTGCGTGTTTGTAAAACAAAAAGACATTGTATCTAAGGACCATCAAATCCCTGTTTAATAGTAAGAAAGCTTCGGACCCTTCTCCATCTAGTAAACCCATATTCATTTGTGCCGTATTTGTTTGTATCTCTCTAACTGGATCAGGCTCTGCAGCACCCAGTGAAGCGCAGCAAGGAACTAAAAATGACTGCAGGAACAGAAGCCTTTTCAAAAAGCTGCAGGCAAGGATGCTTTTCCCAGGTCAGCTTGCTCATGACAATGACAATTTTGATGGCAATTCTGGCAATACCTGCCTCTACCTTAAGCCAAAAGCCATCTTCTTGATGTCCACACATGAAGATGCCCACATTTCTAACACTTCTGGTTTCTGCCATCTGAGCATTTGATTCGATCATTCATTTGATCTGATCCAATTCAGTGTCATTCACAGCAGCAAAGGCTTGTTCCACACACTACTAAGCAATGTTCCCCCAGCAAAACTGATGGACAAATGCCTATG